CTATAAAATCACAGGTCCTTTATGAATTGAGAGGTTGGAGGTTTTAAAAGTCATTAAAGGGGAAGGTAGTAAGCTTTTATATATTACCTCCTATGTGTGAGACGGCATGCTAAGGGGTTAATTAACATTATCCCTTTTGATCCTCAGAACAGCTCTGAAAGGTAGGTTCTGTTATTATCCCATTTTAGTTGAAGAAACTGAGGCAAATAGAGGTTAAATAACTTACTCAGGGTCACAGAGCTATTAAGTACCTGAGGCTGGATTTGAAATCAAACCCAGTGCTTGTGCCTTCTAGCTGCCTCATCTGACCATAGTTTGACAGTTGGAAGAAATCTTAGGGTCTAGTCCAAATCTCTCACTTTACAGGTAAGGAAATTTGAGACCCATAAAGGGTAAGTGACTTACCCAAAGCCATAGGTGGTAAATGGCAGGAGTCAGATTTAAACCTAAGTCCTATGACTCTACAGTTAGTGTTCTTCCCTCGGACCATGATCAGTACAAAGGACTCATCAAACAGAGTGACAGGAAAGATTCAAGCAGGGAAGGATAAATGCCAGCTAAATAGATCGAGAAGTTGATTATTAAACACCTGTGACTGCCAATCTAAATACCAAATGAACAGGATCCTGGATTGGGTCAGAATAGTTCTCTCACTACATGGGTGGGAAGGGAAATCTCTTTACTACCAATTCAAAAGCATTGACTTCCTTAATCAAACTTGGTGTTCCTATAGCAAATAATCATTATTACACTACTATTGTGAAACAAACAAGCTCTTTGGTCATGTGCTAACTTGAGAGTGTTCTTGGTTCTGATTCTCTAATCAGAGCCAGGATCACTTTCTGCAGGTAATGAGTTCACTGGGAAGTTAGGCTACGGAAAAGCTGGAGGATCGATCATCTAGGACAAGTCTTTGGTTCCTTGATCTGGTCCAACTTCTTCATCTTACAGATGCTGTTACAGAAGACTATTTGATGGAACACTTGGTCATCTTCCCCAGGAGGGTTCCTAATGAGCATAAGAAAAAAGACCTTGACAGCATAAATGGCCTGCTGAAAGGTACTTTAGAGAGTGTCAAGTACAACCTTCTCACTTTACAGAGGAAGAAAATCAAGTCTGGAGACGGTGAGTTGCCCATACATATGCAAACACGAAGTAGCAGCAGAGTCAAAAATCAAACCTACACCTTCCGACTCCATACAGGACTCTGTCCAGTACCTCACAGTGCTTCTTGATAGTTGAAGCTGATCCATCAAGATCAGTTGCAGAATATGAAGAGTTGCAGAAATTCTATTCTTAAAAAAATTGAATAATCTTCCAAACTAAGTCAACATATGTCTTAGTAAACAGTAATTTCAATTCAAATTTGGATCCAGGATAGGGTGATAACTTTGGAAGATTAAGAAATGAAAATGGTCAAAAACCTCTAGAATACCTAGAAACCTTGGGCCAATGTTATAGATCATGACTATTTCTTACTTTCTTCAAGGGGATGAGTTGTAAGGCTCACAACATAGTGAGTAAAAAGCATCAAAGTAATGAAATCGGCTATATCATAGACAGTATCATTGAATCATCGTGACTGAGAGCTTTATATTGACTGGAATCATTAGTGCATTACGGTATGCTTGAATTCCACCATTCATACATTTCACATTGGCGTACTGGGATCAGCATACATCATTTTCATATTCACATTATGTGATAACATTTACAATGGTGGAAGTTTTTTTAAGGGGGAAATTTCTTAGGAGGATTTATTATACAAATATAACAAAGGCAATACAAAGAATGATATAATCAATTTTTCGCAACATCCTTCACAGAAAGGACAAAGCACTCAGAAATCAATAACAGCATATTTATTGTATTTCCCTACTTTATAAATTTTATAATCTTGTTGTACTTCCTACATCCTATTTTGAGGACATGTTGTGACATTTTTTTTCTTCTGCCCTCAAAATTTCCCCTAGGCTAAGTGCCAGCTTCTACAGTTGTATCACTCTGAGGACTCACTGAGAACAATGCAAAATGTGTGAATAGAGTTTAGTTAAACTCTGCTCGTTGGAAATAAATGGAAGTATGGTAAGCTACTATTCATACCCCTTCAACTTTTCTGCTTTAATCTTCAGAGATCTATTGCTGGCAGTAGGGTATTAACTAGGCAAGGTAATTTACAGGCTCTAGTAGATATTAAGAGGAGAAGGTATAGCTCACTGTAATGTCAGAATATCCCCCTCCCCCCCCACACACACATACCAATTTCTTGGTGGGGGGAAGTAGGAAATAAAATATATATTTTTTAAGTTCAGATCTGTAATCTTATTAGTGAAGTACAACCATAAAGATCTGATACCCAACTATTTCAGGCACACAGAGAACTTAAGTGACCTGTCCACAGTCGCATAGCTCAAGTGTGGCAGAGGGAGGAATTCACCTCAGGTCTCCCTTGACTTCCAAACTGGTCCTCTCTCCACTTCACCAGTCCCAATCTCCATTTTATAGAAGGCAAGATGAAGATCCAGAAATACCAAATGGAGACATGTGCGTGTGACCAGCAAGTGAATCTAGGATGCTCGATTTCCGTTCTCCTGAACATAAATCTGGAATACCACAAATTTATGCATAAAGTCTAACTGGATGAGAGTCTGTGCTTATGTAACTCTTTCCTACTGGAGCTTTTCAAATGAGTTCCCAAAATTTCTTATTGTTCCTCATCACAGCCCTCCAGGTTCCTAGGGGAGGTGGTTGATAACTATTTACAAAGATTTATTCTATCATCTAGTCAATAGTCATCTACCAGGAGTTCCCGGAATGCCTATTTTTTTTTTTTGTTGGTTTCATCTGAGGGAGAGACTATGCAAGTCACCATGAAATTATGTGAGGTACTGCTTGTTGCTAAGTTACATTTACTAATAACTGCCTTAAATTAATGATCTTAATTAGGTGACAGTAATAAAAACGTACAAGTACAATCATGTACTCAACTCATAAATACTTGGTAGTAAATTAATTTATTGTTAATTACAAAACCCTGCCATCAATTACTAAACACTATACCACAAGAGTTATAGACTCAATATTTCTCTTACTATTTATCTGTTATGTGTTTTCCTTTCTCTACACTTATGATGATGATGTTGATGACGATGATGATGATGATGATGATGATGATAATGATGATAGGTGGCATCTACATAAGACATTAAGTTCTGCAGGACTGCAAAAGGTTTTCATATATTACCACATTTGAACATCGAAACAACTCTGATTTCAAATGATGCCTTGTGTGACCCTGGACAATTCAATTAGTCTCTGGACCTCACTTTCCTCATATACAGAATAAAGGAGTTGAACTAGAAGGCCTCTGAGGTCTCTTTCACTGCCAGCCCTAAGGTTTTTTGCACCTTTCTGAGTTTTAGTTTTCTTATCTGTAAAATGGGAATAATACTGACATCAATGTCACAGAATTTGTTTTCAAATGATACAATAAATTACCTAGAATAATAAAGGAAATCAGTTATATTGGAACAGAGCTCTTCATATGTTAAAGGGGGAAAAAAATCATGGACTCCAGGTTCAGAAACCTTCAGTTAAAGGTTAATAAAAAATAAAGATGCGTTTTTTTCCTTTTCAACTTCATGGACATCTTTAGATGTATCCATGAACCCCTTAGGGAATCCCATTTTAAGGACTGTGATCTAAACCAACTTAATGATTATAGCTGTGTGAAAAGAGAGATTCACAGACAAAGGAGTTGTCCAAAGTGACATATCTAGTAAGGAGCACATTGGGGAATCCCAATCCTCGTTCTCCAGATCTCTGAGATCACATTGCCTCAGACACTATCATTTAACTTGACATAGCACTCAGGTTCAGTTACATGAGTTCTAGACAAGAGCTGCCCTCTGCTTTGGCCCTATGAGCGGGCACTTGAGGACATAATCTTGCTTCTTTCTCTTGATGGATGAAGATTGAGTTGGAGAAAAGGAAACAATAAAATAAAGCTGGAGTTGAGAACAAACAGCTGCAGTGCCCAGATAAGCTTTGCTTGCTCCGACAATATGCAATGCCCACCTTGACACTCTTCACTCTACTGCTGCTGACATGCCCTGGCACTGATTTGCTCAAGCTTGGACAGAGCATCTTGACGACTTCTCAAGTAGGTTAAGAAAAAGAAATAAAGATCATCTGTCAGGCTGGGTTCTAGTTTTTTTTTTTAATTCAGTTTCCATTCTCTGCCTCCACACACACTTTATGTTTTCCTACGCTACAGAAATTAGCACAGAAATCTAGGCTAAACCCTAACAGAAAGGAAACAAAAGAATATGAATTAGCACCCATGGAAAAATCACTTTGATCTTTAAGGAGAAGAATTGTTTTGGCTCCTGTTGGCATGGCCCAACAGAAATGGAAAATAAAAAAGGAGCAAGTAGTCTTTATAGGTAGGCATGAAAATAGTAACTATGCCATGATGAGAATTTTTAATTTGGTTGAGGTACAGGAGAAAAAAAAAACCATTACTATCTAGAGGAAAAGGTGTTATATAAATGGAATGCATTGATATATTTTACTACTAATATTACTGCTGCTGCTACAACTACTACTACCCCAAAGTCCAGATAAAGGCAATAAAAATACACTAGCCTCCACTTTCAGAAATCTCCTTATTATATCCTAATGTTCTCAACCATATCAATTTCACTTCAAGCACATCCCTCTGTAACAACTGGGTCTTTTGGCATTGCAATGAAGTTGTCAGGAGGAAGCATTATGAAAAATGCAGACAAATCTAGGCCCTCTCTCCTTACACAAGGAGCTGATTCTGAACTCTTTGCATGATCTAAGAGCCCACTGTGTTTAGTTATGATTAGAAGGAACTATAGTATCATGACTGTGGGTGGAGGAATACCGGGTATTACAGCTTGGGCCCTCCCTCTTCTCCAGAACATAAAACCCGCCTAGCCCATGCCATGAGCTTCAAGGACTGAGGTACTTACTGCATTAAAGTTGGGGAACAGATTGACTGCTGCTGCAGTGTCCAGAGGAAAGGGAAGAAATGGTTTAATATCCAGTGAGGGCTGCAAAGGCGGGGCAGGTGGACGCACCAGGGCTGGGAGAGCAGGGCTCTGGCATGTGCCACCTGGAGACGAGAAGGGAAAAGAAAAGAGTTAGCAAGATCCTCTGCCTTTGAACAGATGACCTTGATGAAACACCTGAGGTTTCTCACAAAGGATTAAAAGCCATTACTATGTTTCCCTGGAAATCAAGAACTCATAAACCAACTGTGAAACCTGTTGCTATCAACTGGCAGCCAACTTTTCCTTGTTTGGAAGTAGCTAGTTATGATTTCTGCCTCTGCCTTCAAATTGAACAGATAACGCTGGGAAAGTATCTCAGGGCTATTTCCTGCCAGGCAGCCAGATGGGATTCAATTATCAATCACATTTTCAATCAAGATGCCTTCAAGACCACTAGCTTCCATATTGGTTTTTCATTTCTAGGGCAAATGCAGCCCTCCTGCCCATCTCCTGCTAAAATTCATCTTATCTTTCAGAGGCTCTTGTGCCATTGTTTCCCTAGGTCTCTCCTTTTCACAGCATCCTGAACTCTGGCCGTGGTAAGCAGAGAACTAACCTTGCAGGAAAGACAAATCACCCTACCTTGCTTCCTTGATAGGTGGGGGGTTAAAATGCTGTTTTTAATTCACTGTTACCAAAGGAGTGGGGCTGCTAGGAAGCATTCCCCAAGAGTCAGTCCTCACCTCACCTAGCCGCTGCCTAGGGCTATTGTCAAGTACACTAGATTTTTTTTGGTGGGTGTATTTAGGGGTAGATAGAATTTAGTATCCTCTTAAACAATAGCATACCTTCTCAGCCATGCTACCAATGAGCAGTCTGTGGGACTATTATGGAAATGAAGACATCCCCTTGCATACCAATCAGTAGCCACCTGTTCGCAATAGAGCATAATTTTTTTTGCCCCCCCCCCACCCAGGACACTGTGTCAGTCAGTTGCCTGGAAGCTGGAAGGACTCAAGCCCCATTTTCAGCATGCAATATTTCCCATGTTTTGATTATATTCCAAAACATCAATTTGCTGTTAATTAAAGACTGTTTGAATCCTAGGAAACTGTTAAAATATGCCAGTGTTCTTCTAATCTGAGAGGCAGGCAGCAGACTGTAAAAAACCTACTGGGGAGAGGCCAAGAAACATTAGAAAAACAAAATGCAGTGGGATTTTTCACCCTTATCTCAGAACATTCTGAAGAGAAGAGAATAGGAAGGAGAGAAAAGGAAGAAGAGGAAGAGTGAGGTGAGAGAGACTCTAAATCCCAATATGGAACTGCCATCTTATTTTGTAAGTTAGTTGAGTCAAAGGTGACAAATAGCGAAGAAGAAGAGTTGCTTTTAAAAAAAAAATCTTACCAGAATTTCTCTTAAAAAGTCTCTCCTCTTTCCTTCCCTGCCTATGTCTCTCTGTGTGTGGCTCTACTCTCTCTCTCTCTGTGTCTCTCTCTGTCTCTGTCTCTCTCTCTCTCTGTCTCTCTCTCTCTCTCTCTCTCTCTTTCTCACACACACACACACACACACACAATATCCCTGATTACATGCCCTCTACATAATTCTGATCATTTTCATTAAGGTTCCACACATATCAGAAAGGATGCACAAAATCTATCCAATTGGGGTAGAAAAGCTGCTAACTACGAGTATGACTTAATGCCTGTAATTGAGGACTAACAGAAAAAGATTTAATTAACCACTTGCTATAGCCAGTCAGCTCTCCTGCTTCTAGGTATAAAATCAACTGTAGCTAAATGAGCAAACACATTTTCCCTACCATTTCCATAACTTTCATGAAGAAAAAAAAATCACAAATAATAACATATCTAAAACTGGATGGGTGGCAGGGGGAAGAGAGGAAGAGAAGGGAGATCTGCATTTACCATGAGGACACTTAAACACATCTGCTATCACCCTGCCAAGGAGGCTTGAGTTAAACTTCCATGGAAGGCACTTGCCAGAGGATTTGGTGAGAGACTAAGTACAGTATTCCTTGTAGGTTCCTAATGCCTCACCTCCCCCAAACTACTGAAATGCTTTTATGAACCTGCAGTGAATTTTAATTGTCTCTCTTTGGAAAGCTAATCAGCAAAGTCAGATATGGATTGAATAAATCACACCATTTATGTTTCATGCGACAAAATAAAATCTTTCAGGATCAGTCATTTAGAGGAAGAGAGGACTTTAGTGGTCATCTCATCAAATCTCCTCACCGTACAGATGCAGGAATTTTAGCCAAGTTAAGAATAGAGTCAGTCTCAGTCATTTAACTCAGTCTTATCAAATCTAAATAGAAATGGGATCCACTAATCCACATCTAAGGATCCTTGAGGCCTGCATATTGGTTTTTTTTAATGTAATATTGCCTATGTTTTTAATGTAATATGACCTATGTTTTGCTATATTTTCACTTTTTGGTTATTTTTTAAAATTATATTAAATCTGGTTCAGGCAGGGATCCACATAGTATTGGGGGCTGTGTGAAGCCGGGGCTATGTGTTTGACATTTCTGATTGAGCTAATTAATGAGCAAATTAAATATGAAACCAGGGCCTCTGGTTCCAAAACAAGAACTGTTCCCAATGCACCATGTTCCTTCCCTAAATTTTTATGACACTTAATAACATATTTGATATCATCTGATCTTTTGCTGTTGTTGTTCCAGAGTGGAAGCACTCTCAGCTGACACATATGAGCAACTCATCTATTACTCATGATCTTGGCTGTAGCACTAAGAGGTAAATTGATATGCTCATGATCACACAGAGGCTAGATTTGAACCCAGGTCTTTGTGACTGTGAGATCAACCCTACTTTCAATTCACCACTGTTACCTCATTGACCCTAACAACAAAGACATTATGCAGCACATAGCAAAGCAATGTTGACAAAGAATAAAAAAGGAATAAATGTAATTGTTCTGTGATATATTATCTGTGTAGCCATGGGTAAGACTTAATTCTCTGAACACCTATTTTCTCATCAACCATTGATCAATAGATAGGAAGGTCCTCAAAGCCCATCCAATCAGTCAGTCCAATCAACGACTATGTAGTAAGCAACCACTGTGCTCCAGGAACTCTCCTAGGTGCTAGAGTTACAAAGATAATAAATAGAACTATCTTTGTCTTCAAGGACCTTATCAAAAGAAACATACATGTGTATGGAAGTATACACAAATGTATAAATATATACATACATGATAAATTTATTATATATTTAAAAGGAATAGCAACTTGTACATAATAGATTTGCAGTTTCAAGCGCTATTATCTTTGTCTTATTATTATACTATGTTATGGAAATGCTTGTTTTATTCTATAAATTAAAAATAAAGTTTAAAATATATATGTCCATAAACATATACATACCTATATACAGATACATGTGTATATACATAAACACACATATGTATGTATACATGTGTGTATACATATATATGTATATGTGTGTATACACACACAGAGGAGGGGGCAATTTTGCCCCAGACAAGTGTCTTAGAGCCAGGGGTGGGGAATCTGTGGCCTCAAGGCCACGTGGGGCCCTCTAGGTCCTCAAGTGCGGCCCTTAGACTGATTCCAAACTTCACAGAATGAATCCCCCTTAATAAAAGGATTTGTTCTGTGACGTTTGGAATCAGTCAAAGGGCCGCACTTGAGGACCTAGAGGACCCCATGTGGCCTCGATGCTGTGGGTTCCCCACCCCTGTATCTTGACTCTCAATTTATCTCTAATTCTAAGCAATCAAATTATTTGATTTCCAGTTGACAGCCCTGAGTCTTTATAGCACATGGACTATCTATCCGTTGTCTCATTCCCCAACAACAGAACATATAAACACAAACCAAGAGCAAAATAGCTCATTGAGCAGACTCTATACTTTGTACCCACAGGAAAAGAATCCCTGTCCTCCTCCTCCCAGAGTCCAGGGAATTTTCTTACCCCCCCCAATATATCACCATATCATATATCTCCACTCTATCTCCTTCCCCTGATGCCTTCCTTGATATGAGCATGGCACTTAATTCCTCTATCACTCCCTGTGTTGACACTACTACTCATATAGAAAGACTATAGTCAATGTAGTAGAAAGTTTTGTAGCATCTTACATTTAGCCAGAATTACAGCAAGTTACAGTGCAAACAGGGGAATCCAGATGGTACATTGGGCGGAGTGCCAGGCCTGGAGTCAGGAAGACCTGAGTTCAAATGTGGCCTCAGACATTTACTAGCTATGTGATTAGGCAAGTCACTTAATCCTGTTTGCCTCACTTTTTTCATTTGGAAAATGAGCTGGAGAAGGAAATGGCAAACCAGTCCAGTACCTTTGCCAAGAAAACCTCAAATTGAGTCACAAAGAGTAGGACACAACTGAAACAAATGAACAATAGAAACAGTATAAACAGAGTAATCTCATATTAGTAAATTCAATTCAGTCCAACTCATATTGATTAACTATGTACTGATTAAGTAAAGTCAACAAGCATTTATTGAGGACCTACTATGTGCTAAGCACTGGCTTAAAAAAAAAACTGAACCAGTCTTTGTCCTAAAGGAACTTGTATTCCGTCATGGAAGGGCTAATACTTGTACAGTTAGTAGTTTTATATATATATTTAGATTAATAATAGGGGCCTTTGGGAAAAATAAATTGATTTTACTTTTATTAAGCAAAATGGTGCCTCAGAAAGAGTAATGTATTTGGGGTCAATGGATGTGGGTTCAAATGCTGGTACTTCCACTTACCATATGACTTTACACTTGGCTTGACCTTCCTTGGCTTGTTTCTTCATCTGTAAAATAAGTGGGTTTGGACTAGATGGTCTAATAGGTCCCTTGAACACCAAGTTCTAAGAAGTAAGGATCACTTTTTAAGCACCTATTATGTTCAAAGCAACTGAGTGGTATTTTCATCCACAAGGCAGCAGATATCCTTACAAACTTTAGTAATAATAGCCAATATTTATATAGTATTTTGAATTCTGCAAAGTACTTTACACATATCACACTTGGATTTGGACTTTATAGTCCTGCAAGGAATGCACAACAGATATCATTATTATCATTTGACAAATGAGG